TTAATAAGTGTCTACATAGAAAAACAGACTGCAAAGAAATCTAACTTAAAAATGCAACAAAAGAAACTAGAATGGCAAAAACACACTAAACCACAAATTATCAGAAGACAAATAATAACAAAGATCAGAGCAGAAGCATGAGACTAAAACAACACAAAAGATCAATGAAACAAAGAGTTGGTTTTTGAAAAGATACTATACTTGATCTTAGCCAAAAGGCCAAGAAGCAATTTTTTTTTTTTTTGGTACCAGGGATGGAACTCAGGAATTTGCGCTTGTGAGGCAGGTGGTGGGAACACTGAGCTAAATCCCTGGCCCCTTTGAAAAGAAAATTAACAAAACTAGCTAGACTAACCAAGAAAAAGAGGAAGTAAAATCAATAATGAAAAAGGAAATATGACAACTGATATCACAGAAACAACGTAGATCCTTTTAATAATTATGTACAACTACATGCCAACACACTGGAAAACTTGAAGAAAATGGATACATTTCTGGGAATTTATAACTAAACAAAATAGACTCAGAGCACATAAAAAACTTGAGCAGACCCTAACAAATAATTGCATTGAATCAGTAATAAAAAGTCTCCCAAGAAAAGCCCAGAACCAGATGGCTTCACTGTAGAATTTTACCAAAGCTTTAAGGAAAAACTAACACTAAGTCTTCTCAAACTATTCCAAAGTATTGAAATGAAATAAGCTTCTCTAATCTCATTCTACAAAGCCAGCATTACCCTTATGCTAAAACCAGGCAAGGGCACAATAAAAATGAAAACAACCAATCAATATCTCTGATGAACATATATGCTACAATTCTCAAAAATACTAATAAATTGAATCCAACAGCACATAAAAAAGATCAAATGGTATTTACACAAGGGATGCAGGCTGTTTCAACATATGCAAATCAACGAATGTAGCACATCACATCAATAAAATGGACAAAAGCCTTATAATCATTTCAACAGATGCAGGAAAAGCATTTGATTAAATTCATGATAAAAACCCTCAAAAAATTAGGTATAATATCAATGTACCTCCTCAAACTGAACAGGAAAAACTGTAAATTGTTTCTTTTAAGATCAAGAACAAGAGGCAATAAGTGAAATAATAGGACATATATTTGTAAATACAAAATAGTTTCTCTTATATGAGAAACGAAAGTGTAAATAAGGGTCAACATATATAACAGATAATGTGAAATAAGAAGAAAAGGTCCAAAGGAGAAGGGGAAGTGGGAGGGATAGGGGAAAGGAAAGAAAGGAATGGAATTAATATGAGAAAATGAAAAACTGTAAACAAAGTCATTGCAAATAGGGAAAGGTGGATAAAGGGAGGGGAGGGGAAAGGGGAAAAAATAAGAATCAAGATATATTATGTACAGGTACCACTCTCCAATGATGAATGCCATTATACTGTATACCTAAATGTACCAGTAAAATTAATTTTTTAAAAAGGGAACATGGTAAGAATGTCTACTTTCACCATTTTTATTCTATAAAGTATTCAAAATCCTAGCCAGAACAAGAAGACAAAAGAAAGAAATAAAGGGAATCCAAATAGGAAATAAGGTCAAATTAATTCTGCATTTGACATGATTTTATATACTAAAAAACCTAATGACTCCACCAAAAAGGTTAGAATTTATAAACAAATTCAGTAAAGCTGCAGTGGATAAGATCAACACACAAAAATCAGATTTTTTATATTCTTAAAATTGCTGGTAAAGAAATCAAGAAAGAATTCCATTCACAAAGCTATAAAAATACTTAAGAATAAATCTGACAGGAAATGTTCTCTTCAATGAAAATTAGAAAACATTGATAAAAGGAATTGTAGGACACAAAAACAAAATGGAAAGACACTTCCTGCACATGTGTTGAAGAATTAATTTTGTTAAGATATTCATACTACCCAAAGCAATATACAGATTCAATGTAATTCTTATCAAAATATCAATGATATAGAAATAGAAAAAAAAAATCCTAAAATGTGAATGGAACCATATAAGACCACACTGCCCAAAAGCTAAAACAATCTTTAGCAAAAAAATGAAACATTACATGTCTTTGAAGCATTAAACAATATTACAATAACTCAAACAGAACACTGGACTAGCATAAAATCAGACACAAAGAACAATGGAATGGATTAGAAAGCCAAGAAGCAAATCTATATATTTACAGCAGACTTGTTTTTAACGAAGACAGCAAGAACATACAATGGAGAAAGGACAATCTTCTAAATAAAAGGTGTTTGGAAAAATGGCTACATACATCTTAAAGAATCTATACCCCTATCTCTTACTATACACAGAGATCAACTCAAAATGGATGAATGACTTAAATACAAGACTCAAAAGTATGAAATTAGGCAGAGCTCCCTGGCACATTCTCCTTATTTCAGCTATTATGGAGGCTGAGGCAGGAAGACTGCAAATTTGGGGCAACTTAGCAGGGTTTCTGTCTCAAGAAAAGAAAAAAAGTACTAGGGTTGTTGCTGCTCAGTGATAAGTGTTTCTTTTACTGTAATAAATTTTAAAGAACAAAAAATTCACTGTATATTTTTTAATCACATCAAATATATTTGAGGAGAATGTTCCTTTTATAGTCTTAGTTAAAAATTTCTTTCTCTTATAATGACTCTTTAGTCTTTGCAGACCTCTGATGGATATTTATTTAGCCCTACAACTGCAGTCTTCTAAGTTTCAGTTGACACTAAACAGGAACCCAACACAGTTGCAGTGTCCAGAAGGCAGGCTATATTCCAATGAGATGCTCTGAAGACTCTGGCCCTGAGAGAAAGTATGGAAAGCAAGTTTCAAATGAGTAAAGGGTAATAGGTAAACAGAGACAAATGGGTACAGTCTTCTTAAAGAGTTGTGGGAAATATACAGAACAAGACGTAAAGAAGGGCACACCTCAGAAATTGCTTCAAGTAAATGACATAATATATCATAACATTGATGGTGCTCCATCCTAGACAAGAACGTCCAGGGCAGTTTTCCTTAAAGGGCTGGCTTAACCTTGTAAAGAAACAAGAGAAATGTTTTCAATCACATCTTCTCAATGTTATCTGTAACAATGTCAACCAGGCAAAGACACAAAGACACCATGTAATGGCTCTGACAAGATGAGCCACTTAATATGAGCTCAGTATTGGTTGATATATATATTTTTTATGCCAGAACCATGTTGTTTTGATAGCTTTGTAACATACTTTGAAATAATGTATTGTCTCCAGTTTTTAGTCAAGATTTATTTACTTGGCTACTTGGGTTCCATATGAGTTTTAGGATTGTTTTCTACTACTTCTGTAAAGAATGACATGGGGAAAAAAAAAAGAATGACATGGAAATTTTGATAGAGATTGCACTGAATCTGTAATTGTTGTGGATGGTATGGACATTTTCATAATGACATAAAACGAGCCAGACACAGAGACAAACACTCTATAATCTCACTTATGTGTACAATCTACAAAAGTTGAACTTATAGAAGTAGAGTAGAATGATTGCCAGAGGATGGGGAAAAGGGCGATATTGCTCAATGCATTAGGAAGAGTAAGTTCTAGTTGAATTGCAAAGCATGATGATGACCAATTAATTAATAATGTGTATTTTAAAATAGCTAAAAGACTTTAAATGTCCTTGCCACAAGAAATAACACATATTTAAGGTGAAGAACACGATAACGAGCCTGATTTGATCATTTCCCAGTCAATTCCACTTGTGTTCCTACAACCAGTGATCTTCTCAAAAAGAAAACTGACTTCTCAGTTCCCTGCTTAAAACATTTTGTTGGCTACCTTCTACTCTCAAAATGTAGAACCAACTCCTGATCGAGGAGTCCTGCACATCCTAGTCCTTTCTGACCTCTCCCTTGCTCTTGTGCACTCTTTATGTTTTTGGAATAATACAATCTTTCCTAGTCTCAAAGACTTCACATAGACTAAAAGCCCTTTCACCTGCATCCCATCTGCTTAGTTAACAACTTTTCACAGCTTCTTTGAGAAAATTGTTTGTCAACCTCCTGACTAGTCAGGCCTCTGGACAGCTCTCCCTTTACCTCTTTCATAGTAGTCAGTCCAATTTGTAATTATGCTTGTAACAATCTACACTCTTTTAAGACAGTAAGATCAAATGGCGAGAAAAGAGTCTTTTAAATAATTGCCAATAAATACCCAGGGCTCAATAGCAAGTACAATGCTTGGACCATTTTAGGAGATTCAAAGTTTTACTGAATAAATGCATTAAAGGCCAGAGGAAAACTGGGATGCACTAGCTAGGGATCTGGTTCGTAGTTATTTGCACACTTAACCAAGCTTTGCCCATCATGGTGATAAGGAGTATCTTTTCCTTTCCTTGATCGATATTTATTTTTTGTTGTGTACAACTTCAAATATCCACTGCCTCCATAGCATTAACAGGGTTTAGAGAAGATACTTCATGTTGGAGAAATGTCATGGAATGAGTATGTTTCTGTTGTTGGTCTCTGGTTTCACTCTAATGTGGTATGAAAGCTTGCTTTGCAAGATTTACAATTCTTTGAACATGTTCAAGTTTTTGTTGTTGTTGTTATGACCATGGTCTATTTTGAAAAAAAGAAATAAATTCCTAGAGTGGGAAAGTCTATGCAGATGGAGAGTGTCTCAGTGGTTGCCCAGATTTGGGGGTCAGGGGGGATTAGGAGACAATGACTAGAGGAGAAAGTGTTTTGATAGAGATAATAAAAATGACCTTAATTTGCTTATGGTTACAGTTGTACAACTGTTAATGTGCTGGAATTTGTTGAATTGTTTTATTCTACTTAAGTTTGTAGATTGTGTGGTATGTATGTTTTTAGTTCAATGAAGTTGTTTTATTAGAAGAAAGGAAATGGTATGGAAGGAAGGCAGCTGTGACCTGACACAGGAATAAGTTTCCTGCCCTAATTTTTCCTTCTCAGGAGCACTGAGGACCTTTGTAGGGAGACAAAGATTTCACATGACAACACTTACCTGTTCCCATGAAGAAATCATATGACGTTCAGCAGGTGCCTTTTCTCTGATGGTCACCTCTGTCACACCTGGAGAAGATTCTACAGAAATAAAAAGACAAGTCTGTAGAGTTGCAACTGGCTCACTTGCACAGTCTACACTACAGGTTGACTAATTGTTGGTAATGGCACTAGGATTATCTTTCTGATGAACATTAAAACCCCTGTATCCCTTGAAAGCAGAGAACTGATTGCAAAGGCACTCAGTTCCATAACTTAAAATGATAAAAGTTTTTTTGGTAGAAAGAACACCAACAAAACATACAGTGTATTACAATCAATCACTACTCAGTCACTTGTTGTTTAAAGACGATTCTAAATTCCTAGTAATTTCACATTGAACTTCTTAGTGAGCTAAATGTACACATTTATGGTGAAAAGGAATAAGGAACAGTATCTTATTAAGTTTTATAAGACATAAAATTTTGTTTGCTTTTCTTCTAAATAAAACTCATCCTGAACATAATATTCTGCTCTCTGAGGTGCAAGATTTAGAAGCTAGGCTAACATTACGGAAAATGAATTTTGTCTTGAAATATTCTGAGAATAAAGTAAGTTGTATCTATACATCCTCAAAGGAGAAAAAGGTCTCTAAATAATCCAGTAACCTCCTCTTTGTGGAACTGCGATTTACTACCTACTCCGAGGTAAATAAAAAGCCACCAGGGAATGCAAGAGATTCTAATACTTCATCCCACATCCTCTACTTATCTATTCGTCCATTCTCAAGATTTTGAAGTCCTTGGTCTAAGACATAAAATCTATCATAAACATTGTTATGGCTTGAATGCTGTCTTTCCCACAAAGTTATGTTGAAGTCCTAACCCCAGGACTTCAGAATATGATCTTAATTGGAAATAGGGTTGATACCGATGTAATTAGTTTAGATGATGTCATACAGGAGTAGGGCAGACTTCTAGTCCAATATGATTGTTGCCCTATTGATACTAGAAAGAACATCATGTGAAGAAACACACAGATGGACTATGCCATTATGAATATAGAGGTTTGAAGTGAAGCATCTGTAAGACAAAATACGCCAAACACTGCTGGCAAACTACCAGAAGAGGTAAAGGCAGGATCTATCTCCTGCAAGTTTCAGAATGAGCAAGGTTCTGCTGACACTTTTCAGACTTTAGGACTCTAAAACTGTGAGAGAACAAATGTTTGCTGCTTTAAACCACTCAGCATATGCTTTTACAGCAGCCCTAAGCCTACATACCTTTTCTCTTTATGATACTGTGTAAATTATTCCCACTGTTAGCACTTCTGTTTTACACCATGTTCACAGCAAGTCTTGGAGAAATCACAGCCACAAAATTTCTTCCTGGTTTGATCCATCCTCATCATACCACCTGAGGCTCCTGCCTATTCTTAGGGCTGTTTCTTATTTATTATTGCTTAGGTCTCCTTTTTTTTTTTTT